CGCCGCCGCCCGCGGGGGCACCGCCTGCAGCAAGTGGGATCCTTGAATATAGGTAGTTTTTTTCCTCAGAGGCAGGGGATCTCACGGAAAGTGGAGGGAGGACAGGGGCCCGAGGTTATTAAAGAAAATAATGAGTTCTGCAGCCGATCCCTTTGGGCTGAGCCTGAGCCGGTGCGGGGATGCACGCGGCCCTCCCCGCCGCCCTCCAGCAAGCCCCAGATTAGCGAGAAAACTTGGTGGCGGCTCAAGTGCATTCCAGGAAAATTAATGGGAAAGGTTTTTTAATCAGGAACGGCGTGTGTTTTTTTTTCTCTCTCTCTCTCTCAGCTCTTTCAGGTAAAACGGAGAGATTCGCAGAGGGAACCTGGAGGAGAAATAATAGAAATATTAAAGCGCTGTCTTGGTTGCCCTGATCTTGTGGTGTCTATAACACCTTGCTTTAAATGCACGTTACTCTCTAAAACCTGGCCGAAACTGTATTCTTCGCAACAATATTGGTAATAATGTACTTTATCCGAAGCTGCATTATCTCCCTCACGACAGAAACTACAAACAGAATGCATGTTCCAAAAAAAAAAAAAAAAAGAGAGAGAGAGAGACAGAGAGAGAGAGAGAGAAAGGTCTTATTTAATCCAGAAAATAATTAAAATCTCATGTATTTTTATTGGTTTTAGTATCCAGCAGAGTGAAAATATTGAAACTCCGAGACCCCTTGCATTAAAAAGTCACAACTGCTCTATTTTATTAGTTCTGACTGTGTGAAAAAAATTATAAGGACAACATTGAAAAAATCCGGGTTTTAGAGCCCCGAATGGCCATAAAAACAATAAAATCAACTATAAAACCTGCACTAGTGATATTAAAAAATTATGTAGTTCAATAAATGTGACATTTCATGAATGCGGATTTAATAGTCTCTACCCCGTGGAAGGAGGAGGGCTGAGGTCTAACAATTGAATTTGGAAGGGGCGGTGCTGTAGAACTGCAAAATTAAGTGCTTCATTTTTCTTGTTAGGGATTATGCAGTGGTAGTGGAATGTAATAACTATGCCATTAAAACTTCCTTTTAACAAGGCCTATTGCTTGTATAAAAGTCAGAAAGGAATAATCTCTTCCTCTATTTATTTGTTTTCCAATAATACAGCAAAACATTTTTTGTCCTTTTGCTTAAACTTATTCTCAGCATTTTGAATCGACAGCTTGTAAAATATGGTGGGGGCCCTCCATACTGCTGCCTCATATCATGCACGTCGTTATTCCAGAGGGCAATGGGTCATCGGTTTACTGTACATTTATTAAGCAAATCAAGCTGCAAATCCAACACTTCCAGATGAAAACATTAGCTAAACCCCTTGGAAAGAGCAATGCCGGGGAGACTCAGCACAGAGAGAAAAAATAATCAAAACTGTCAGCTCGCTTTACGTGTACCTGATATTTACAAGACACAAGACCACGCTTTAAAGGTGAGTTTGGCATTTCTTAACAACGTAAAAAAAAAAAAAAACTCCCTATATTATAAGCAATGCCGGGGAGACTCAGCACAGAGAGAAAAAATAATCAAAACTGTCAGCTCGCTTTACGTGTACCTGATATTTACAAGACACAAGACCACGCTTTAAAGGTGAGTTTGGCATTTCTTAACAACGTAAAAAAAAAAAAAACTCCCTATATTATTAAAAAAATATATATTTCCATTTCACCGACACCCTTTCGTCTTGCTCTGAGCCTCTTGGTTATTAAGATCTTCGTGGGTTTGAACCGGAGACTTTTTTATTATTATTTATTTTTTCAAACAGCACCTGCTATTCCTTAACAGCTTTCCGGGCTGGCAGTCCCCAGCTCGGCGGCTGCACGGCGGGACACGCGGGGCCTCGCTCGCCGCCTCCGCT